GCGGCGGCGGCGGCTCCTCTAGCCCGGGCTGGGCGCCTCTGTGCGTGCGTCCGTGTGTGTGTGTGTGTCAGTCACAGTGTCAGTTAGTAGACGGGGGGGTGCCCACGCCCCCTTCCCGCACGTGCTTTGGCCGAAGGCCCGGCGTCTGGGAGCAGGTGCGCTGAAGCCACTGGTGCGGCGGCCGGAGAGCCGCGGGGGTGGGAGGTGGGCAGTTGCCGCGGCGGCAGCCCAGGCACCCCGGCGGTGTGTGGCGGACCCACGTTTCCTCGCTAGTGGCGCTGGGGGATGCTGTTCCTCCATAGTCCAAAGTTCCTTTTTTGGGAAAAGAAAAGGCCAGTCCGGCGGGGGGAGGGGCGGGGGAGACAGATCCTGGAGTCCCCCCTGTATGGGGTGCCCAACCCAGGGGCAGGGGCCTTGGCTGTGTCAGACTGTGGGGATTTGGGGCCTTTTAGGTTGGCATCTGGCATGGGACTGGCACATCCTGTGGCAATGCTTGGCAGGGGGTTGCTTGAGGTTTGCTGGTGGGTGGCAACTGGTTATTTGACCAAAACAGTGCCTGCAGCTTTGTGCCACCAGCCTCAGGCGGATCGAGGTTTAGCAGACAGAATAGGGTAGGGGGGACGCTGCCCATCCGTGAGGTTATGAGGGCTGGTGCTTGCCGACTTGGTTGCTGTAATTCCTGGCCATCTGCTGCCAGTTCTAGGTTGCCTCTGGTGCTGTGAGGTTGTAAGCTCCCTCTCCCATGTGATGTGCATCCTCTTGCCATTGGGTCTCTGGTTCTGGGGCAGGATCCTGAAATCCTTCAGTGGTGGGGAGGTCACCCCGTTTCTAGGTTGCCAGTCTTTTTCTGTAGCTGGCCAGCTGGTGCCTGTTCTGAAGTTTCTCAGAGCACCAGGGAGGCCTGTGCAAGGCCTGTGCCAGCCAACTCCTGAGATGGGCCGGTGTGTAGCCCTCCAGAGCATCCTTTAGGAACAGGAAACTTCACCAAAGGCACACACCAGGAATCCGGGGTGTTAGCCAAGAAGCCCCCCCCCTGTTTGAGGCAGTGCTCAGGTGTGGTCGGCTTGGTAAGGGGCCTCAGGGGCCCAGCTGCTTCTTTAGCGGATGGTTTCTATGAAGGGTAGACACCTTAAGGAGAGCGGGTGTGTAGCTCACTCAGCAACCCCCCTGCTTCAGTCTGGCCTCAAATGGGATGTTGTGGCACCCCAGGTGAAGGCTGAAATGACTCTTCTCTGCCTCCCCCTGCCTCCCCCATCCCCATCTTGCCTTAGTCCCCAAATCCCTCTTCCATGCCCCACAGCTGCTTTCTCAATGGACAACCTGAGACGGTGAGGGGCTGCTCCCACTTTCTAGCTGCACAGCCACTCAGGGGCTCCTCTGCCCATCAGCAACCAGCATGGCTGCCACCATTTGTTTCCAGGACCTGCTCCTTCTGGCCCAATCCTCTGTGTGTCCCGCTAGCTTCTGGTCCGCCCGTTGCCTCTGCCCCACTGCTTGAGAGCCTGCTAGCATCTACACCACAAAGCCCGTCAGGCAGGGTGTTGCACTGTCTGCCACTTGGCAGTGCCATTCCTAAGGCCTTCAAGATAAGTGGGTGTTGCCAGATGGAAGCAGAGAGAAATCACCTTTCGTTGAACACTCACATTGCACCTGAAAACCTTCTCCACATGCTGAACAGTCTGGAGTCATTATGAGTTTTGTGAACATTTTGCACCTTGAGCGCATGTGTGCAGATGTAATGACATAGCACGCTGTTGGTCCACCCTGTACCTGTTGCTGTACTCCATCTTCCCTTCTTTTTTCTCTTTTTTTTCTTTTTTTTCTTTTTTGGTATCCTACCATTTCCAAGGAAAGAGGATTCCCATGCACACAGAGTACTTGGCACATGTCTGTCCTCACATGTCTGTCCTCACATATGATTTTTGGTGATAAAGGCAAAGTTTGGAGTGAGGAAATGACTGGGTAACCCACTTCTCCCTCCCTCTCAAATGGCCCTCTTTTCTTGAAGTTATGTTGTTATGTCTCAGCTGAACTACGTAGCTCTGGGCATTTGGTTGCTTGCCAAGGCCCATAACCTCTAGGGCCTCCCACAGTTCTGAGGTTATTGAGTGTTCAGCCTACCTTTATATGGAAAGGCTGCTGCTGTTCATCCTGAAGTGCATTCTGTTTGCCCCAGGAAGCTCTGAATTTGTATAGGCATCTCAACAGATAGTTTGTTTTTTCTCAGATATATAAATTACGTTTGGTTTCCTTGAAGCTTCCTCTCACCCTCTTAACAGTGGTAAGAAACTGTGGAAGTGAACATAGGATTTTACTAAACCCCACCAGCAGTAGGTCTTAAGAGGCTGAGAGTGATGTGGAAAAGATGCTGGAGGAAGAGGAAGAGAGGCAGAATCCAAACTTTCAGGTGAGGGCTCTTCCTGTTGCTGATGAGGGAGAAACAGGCAGGGCCATGACAGGACCAGGAAGCCAGAAGTTGGGGGGATGGAGAGGTCTTGGAGGGCCCTTTTACACCATGCTTCTTAGCTTCTCAGAGGCTGTCCCGTGGGCCACCACATCACAAGACACCCAAGTCAGGTGGTCTCTCTCTCTCACTCTGACTGATGGGTGGGTCATTGGCCAGGTGGGTGGGGGAAGAGAATGTGTGACACTTGTGGTACCATACATAAAAACTGGCACAATTCTCTGAACTGAGGTTCGTGCCCATCTCTAGATAAGAGCCAATAATACACCTTCATCTGCCCGACACAAATACGGGGGAAAATAGACAATTTTAACAAAGGTAATGTTTTATGAGCACGTGGTAAAAACTAACATGAAGGCAGAAGAAAGGAAGTCGGTAGGGACTTTTCAAGGGCTTCTACTGGTGGGCCTGACATTGGCAAAGCACTCCCCAAGCGTGGGGTGGGGCCACCTCCAAACTCTCAGCCACCCACCAAGTGCCCAGCAGCCATGAGTGGTCTCGTGACTGCAGCTTGACAAGCAGTCTCAGAGCGCAGCCAAGGAGATGCACTGGGCTTGGATATACAGACAATCAGAGTAGCAGGTGTTCTGAAGGTGTCCGATGAACCAACTGCCTGACCCACTGCTGCTCTGGCAGCCACATTCAACACCAGTTGAAGTTTTGGAACCATCTTCAAAGGCAGCAACACACGGGACGCACGACAGTGGTCTTGTATAGATATCACTAGCACACAGCTGAAACAGGTCAGATTGCTCCAAGCAGAGTTGCTGATGACACAATATAAGCTGCTGTGAAGCACTCCTGCTCCTTCCTCCGTGCTCCCCTGTCCAGTATCCACATTGGTTCCAGAGCCTAGGAGAACTCCCAAATGAAGCACATCGCCCCCCTCAGGAGGAGTGACCTTATCTAAGAGCAGTGGTGCACCTCTACCTGGACTAGCCATGTTGTCTCCTGCATCTTTATCTTGTCTGGATTAAGTGTCTGTTTGTTCACACTTCCCCATCTCGATCTGCTTCCAAATGCTGGACCTCCCCATGTCGTCCTTGGGAGAAGCGGGGGGACAGAGGTGGTGATGAAGATTGTTCATGTTTTAAAGACCAGTTTGGGCAAAGGAGCCAAAAACATGCTGTGATGGATGGTGACAAAAGCCACTAAGAGGT